GGAGCTGGAACCAACTTCCAAGGGAAGTGGTGCTGGCCCCTACCCTGGGGGTCTTTAAGAAGAGGCTGGATGCCTACCTGGCTGGACTCATTTGAGTCCCGTTTTTGTTTTGGGGTTTTGTTGTTCTCCCGCCCTGGCAGGGGGTCGGGCTAGAAGATCTACTAGGTCCCTTCCGACCCTAAATCTATGAAACTATGAGTCAAGGTGATACTGTGACTGGTCTCCAGGGCTGGTGAGCCAGAAGGCTGAACTCTGCCTAGGCAGAGGCCCATCTAGTACCAGATGGTCCAGAGCAGTGGTTCTCTACAAATGGGTCCTGGTAAAATAGGTTAACATTGATGGCCACTCCTGACCCAGTAAATAGTTTAAGTAGAAAACAGCCCTCTGCCTCTGCTGGTGCCCCTGACTCCCAATACCAGCTCCTGGGGGCTGGGGCATGGGGTGCCCCAAACAGCCCCTTGCAAGCTGGAACTCTGCTAGGGAAAAGCCATGGTTTCCCATGTTTTTTTCTACTTTAAATCCATTTTTAAAGTTGGTTGATACATTTTTAAAGTTTGTTCACGACCCTTTCATATATTCTTGCAACCCACTTTTGGGTCAAGAAACGCTGGTCCAGAGGAAGGAGCAAGAAGTGCTACAGAGCAAATTTCTCTCTAATCTCCTGTTGGTTTATGGTGTGTGCCCTGATGTAGGAGGGTTTATCTATCGCCCTTGTTTTCGTCCTGGCTGACGTGGCAGTTCTATCAATCCTGTTAAATGGCTGAATCTTTTTTCTGAATCCTACAAAGTTCTGGGCTCCAGTGGTCTTCTGTAGGAGTTAATTAGATGCTCTGATGATAAATAAGGAGAGTATTTCTTTTCATGAGTGTTTAAACGTGCTGCCTTTCCATTTTATTGTTTGGCTTTTTACTTTGCTGTTGTGAGCAGGGGTTGGGGGAGGGTTGATAGGAGTGCCTGACTTAGCTTTTCTATATCTTCATTATGTTGAATACTTCTGTCTTACTTTCATACCTCTCCTCTAAACTTGTCCCAAATCTTTCATCTGTTCTCATGAAAGACTTTCCAGACTTTTTCTCATTTCAGCACCCCTTTCATTTCTGCTCTTTTTTCAGAGAGGGTGATCAGATGAAGGCAAGGTATCATTTCATGTAAGGCATGGTAAAACCTCAAGTATTCTTTTCTGTCATGCTCCTTAATTGAGGTGTTTACTTTTTGAGGCCACTGCTGCCTACTAAACAGGGCTCTTTGCTGTGTGGTGCACAGTGGTTCTCAGGTCTCTTTCTTGAGCAGTGTCTGTCATTGGTTCTCTCTGTGGATTTAACTCCTCTAGACTTGAGAGAAGAATCTAGAAAGTATTTTAGTCTAAAAAGATGGCCTTCTGAGGTCCCTTCCAATCCTAATTTCCTATTCTGATTGTGCCATTGACACACATTATCAATTATTCTGGTGCAGCCTTTGAGATCTGAAACCCTGTCTGATCTACCCTGAGCAAAGTGGCTACTTTTTTACAAATCTGGCACCTAGACTTTGCCTGGCTCAGGCCTATACAAGCAGTTTGTTCCTGGGGGAGCAAATGTGTCCCTTTTTGCATTTCTATAGCTGGAGAACCAGTCCTGTTTATCCCTTATTGTCTCTCTGAAGGAACCAGAGAATCCTCTGTTTGTCTGTGCATTGCTTTACGTCAGCAGTTGGCAACATTTCGTGGTAGGCTGGATCTGAGGTGGCTGACAGTAGAACCTGACTACTGCTCCTTCTCCCTGCCACCCAGCTGCAGCACAGCAGAGGAAAGGCCCCAGGCCAGGAAGTCCCTGTTGCCAAACACTGTCGAGCACTCCAACCACTGAATGCTGCTGGAGGCAGTCACTCTGGGCTGAAAGTTGTCGATGCCTGCTTTAGGGGATTGCAAATCTAACGTGTAAGAAGATAGGAAGCATGGAATAGTGATTCAAAGAAACCAGAACACCTAAATTAGTCTGCATCCAATGATTTTTAATTAACTACATGCTAGAAGTCCCCCTGGTTTTGTCAGCTCAGGATATGATTGAAGGAACTGAGTTGGGGTGAGGGAAGAAAAGAGTCTGGTGGAAGTGACGAACATGCAGTGTCCTGGAAAGAGCTGCTTGCATTTTCTGCTTGGTCTAGGCATGTGAACATAGTGGGGCTGTATTTCCCACTCTCATGATCCATCTCTCCTACAGATAACTGACTCGGCCGGACATATCCTCTATGCCAAGGAGGATGCCACTAAGGGCAAGTTCGCCTTCACAACTGAGGACTATGACATGTTTGAGGCCTGTTTTGAGAGCAAGCTACCTGTGGGTAAGTGCAAAATGGCCGGCTGCTTCCAGCACTCCAATCAAGTGCATTTATATGAGGGCATTTGGGAAAGGGTTTGGGGTGAAGTGACCCCCTGTCTCGTTTGCAGAGCACTTCGCAATTATTCAGGGGGAGCAGTGGGAGGAATGGGATTTCTCAGGTCAAGACGTTTGGTGTTACAGAATAGGCATAGCACTAGCTGTTAGATCAGGGGTGGGCAAAATATGGCCCAGGGCAGGTGCCTTGCCCTTACCCAGTACAAGTGCAGAGGGCAGCTTGGACCATGGCACATGTGGCTGGTCCCTCTGCTCCCAGACGCACAGTGGGGGTGCAACAGCACAGCAGCTGGATTCTGCCTCCTGGCAGCCCCAGTGACAGCTCATTCCGGTGGCCACTGGCAGTTGGCACCACCAAATCTGGCCCTGCTCACTGAGCACCCTGGCCTGTCTACCCAGCACTCACTGCTAGAGGCGCTGGACAGAGAGGGTGGGTCAGGTCTCCAGGGAGATGGGCGCAAAACCCTGGCAGGCAGGGCATGCTCAGTGAGGCGGATGGGGTGGGGATGGGGCTCTGACTGGGCAGGGTGAAGTGGCCAGGGCCAAGACTGCAGGGCAATGACAGCACAGGGCTAGGGCAGAGCTGTGATCTGCTTCCTGCATGACATCCTGAAGGGCCTGGCATGGGAGAGGGGCAGAGCCCATGCCTATGACTTGGCTCCTGCTGCCCCTGCTTCTGGAGAGGTGTATGTGGTCAGCCCCAGTACAACATGGCTGTAGAGCAGTGTGGTTTAGCAGCGTGGGGTGGCTCTGATGGATTGTTACCAGATTAGGTCACCCTGTGCTGTTCGGGCCACCCTGTGCTATATTGGAGCTACCCGCATGCACCTATGCTGGGGTGGGAGTCGGGTCATGAGTGTGCGCTTCACCCTTCTCCCAGGTCGGGCTGGTCATGATCTGTCATGCAGCGAGTGAATTGTGGCTCTGCCCTGGCCCCATGCTGTCACTGCCCCAAGATCTTGGGAGGGTGGGGTCAGGGCCACTTTCATCACACTCCCACCCTCTGCTCCTTGTCTTCCTATGGCCCTGGCCCATCAGCCCAGCTGAGCGCACCCTGCCCCTGCTGGTGTAGTAATCTACCAGTTGGAGCTCAGCAAAACTCCCTAAGTGGCCCTCCAGCCCAAATAATTGCCCATCCCTCTAGTCAAATGCAGAAGAGTCACTGCCTGCATTACTGTTGAGAGTGAAGTTGTCCTTATGTCTAGTCAGCAGAGTACTTGGGGATTCTTTTGGTTGAGGCCCAGAACAAAGGACAGGGAGGACTCCCTGAAGAAGAACCATGGTACTTGCTAGAGGAGGAAGAGAGATCCCCCAGAAGTCTAAAGGGAACAGGATTATCCCTTCTTGCACTTCCATTCTGCTTCTCCTTTCAGGCTCCTTTCCTTCCTCCCTGTTTGCCTACCTCTTGGCTTTCTTTGGAGGAATGTGATGTCTGTATGCCCCCAGTGGTGGCAGCCATGTGCCAGGCTAGTAGCCCCTCTTTAGGGAGGATGTTTTAACCCTTAGCAATGCTTTTCAGCTGTACCCAGGACCCCTTCCTTTGAGTGATCCACTGACAGAAGGGGAGACGAGGAGGATGTCAGTCTTGCATTCGTGCTGCAGGGACAGTTGCCTAATGAGCCTCGGGGCTGGCGTTTCCTGTGAGCATGACGCATTTGCCTGTCTCTTGGCTGAGCATCTGGGCAGGATCAACTTCAGTATGAATACCCTAAAACAGCAAACATGTGGGCTCCTTCCCCAATTTGAGGAGAAGTATCTCTGCTTCCTTCTCTCGTTTCCTTCAGGCTTAAGGCCGCTCAAGTCCTTTCACAGTCACTACGCGGATTATGCTTTTGGGTATACCATTTCTTTCACACCTTATCCCAAAAGGTCCCAGCACGCTTTGCTTACCAAACATAGAGATCATCTTATCTCCAAACCCTGCCCAAAGCAAGGCACCTTTGCTGTGGGACCCAACAGCTATTCTGAACATAGTTTGGGATATGAGTAACTCCTGCAGCTGAAAAAGAAGAATTTTCAGAGGAAAGTGATACTGGCCTTGGGTGGGATGCTGGTTATGTGATCCTTGTGTGCTGTTTCACAGGATCTTCAGTGACCCTAAGTGCTCGGGGCTTTGGTTTTACGTCTCATTTAAAAAAGAAGTGCCTCCAGCAGCCCAGTTCTCCAGTAACACTGCACTGGGGCACTAGGGGCAGTGTTGACTCATTCACACCCTTCATTATACTACTTGCCTCTTCCTGAAACATGTCCAGACGTTTCCATACACACTTTCTGTCTCCACTCAGCTGCCTCTGCCTCCAGCAGACAAGAGGCAGCTTCTGCTGCCACATGATCACATATACACCCATGCACTTCTTGCAGCTCTGTGTGACTGTTCAGCAACTGGGCTGCCAGACTGGACTTGACTCTAGAAATGCACCAGTTGCTGAAGGGACCACAGAAGCTGGCAGAAGGTGCAGAAGTGTCTCCCTGTGCCTTCTGCCGGCTACTGGACAATGGCAAAAGCCTTGCTTTGCTTGGTAGACGTAGTTTAATTCTGCCAGCAGAGCATTGGGTACCACTGGCAGCTTTATGGTATAACTAAGCCTTCACTTTCATAATCATAGTCTGAGGCAGTGCGGCTTTAGGGTCACTTCAGTTAACTGTATGTAGACTTGTGGTCCTGCTGCTGCTAACAAATGCTTCAGTCTTGGCTCTGGCCCCTCACAGCTTGCTGTCAGGCTCCCTTGTAGTTTTCTTTTAGCTATTTCTATCTTGATGTAGGCAGAGGATTTCCAGGTGCACCCTACCTACAGAGACTCAATGTTGTGAGGTAACTCCAAATGCCAGTGCCTGAGAGCTCAGAATTCCTTGACTCTGAGGGTTAGTATTTGGTGGCACCTGAGCTGGCTATGTCCCTGTATCCAGTGGTGCCATGGATTCTGCAGTTGGGACCTTGCAGGCAGTTCTGTTGCATAGTGAATGAAGACATGTGGACCTGCAGTAACTAATAGGGTATGGGTTCCTAAGGCTCTGGGGGACTTGAGTCTTTTGGAGAGGAAGCTCTAGAGTCCTGTGGACTGTTGGCTGTGGGAGAATTGACTGAACTCTGCCAAACCTGTTTTGATGACTGATTCTCCTTGCACCTCTGTAAAGACATTATAGTCTGCCCCTGTTAGGCTGGGAGGATAGTAGACTTTGCTCAACAAAGCAAACAGATCTTGCTGGGCTGCAGCCAGGGAGGTCACTGTCATCAGCATTGTGGCTGTGTTGGGGAAACAGAGCTGTTGGCGGAGGAAATATGGGGCCGTTGGGCCATCTGGGGTTTGGGCAAAAGGGATTTCTCAACCCCTGGCCGCAGAAATGGGGAAGTGGAACTGAGAGGGAGCAGTGTAACTCCGTGTGAAGAGCTCCAGGCTCTGGGACAGTGCTGCCCACCAATGCTGGGGATCTCCCTGTATTTGTGAGTGGCCAGCAGGCTGTTTCCTCTTCTTCCCCAGCACTTAGCTCTTCAGGCTGTGGTTGTCTCGTCCTGCATTTGCCCAGTAGCATGGAAGCACCCTGCCATTAATTCCTTAGAGGCTCTTGGTCTGGGCTGAGCATCACCTATTTTCAGGCCAGAGTTGCCCTTGGGATCCCCCACTGCCAGTGAAATAAACAAGTGCCAGGTTCTCTTTTTTTGTGGGGGGGGGGCCGGGGAGGGGAAGGGATGGACAGACTGGAGCATAATTTTGCTGCCAAAGCTGGGAGCTCTCCCCTGTGTATCTGAAGCAGCCCCTTCTCTTTCTGCTTATTGCCTCACCTCAGGAAGAGAGAGACCTTGTCTGGGGTAGTCCTAGTGCCTTTCCAGGATGACCTGTTGAAAAGGCCTTATCTCCTTGGGGCGGGCTTTGCAGCAACTGGACTGTGAATCAGGACTTCTCATTTCCAAAACCATGGGAACATTGTTTTTATTTCACTTCTGCCACCACCAGCTCTAGGAGCAGTAAGGAGTTATTTGGACTCAGATGAGACTGTGCAGTACTTGGGGCCCAGCTTGAGTTTCTCTCTAGGACTGTCTCTGGACTTGGGACCCTCCTACCTCCATAGGAGGTCTGCTTCTCCCGTCATTGTGCTCAGCATTTCTTATGCTCTTACAGTCTCTAGGAGCTGCCTCTTCTGCTCACCCTGCCAGCTATGCTTTCCCTCAGTCTGAGACCAAGCCCATGTGGTGGTTGAAATGCAAAATTTGTGTGGTGTGTTGTGTTGTAAGTAGCAGATGAAATTTAGTTTTGAATTCTGTCTTCAGGATGTTTCCTTTTTGTGAATTTCCTTACTTGGTTTCTAAAAAATAAACTAATTTCATATCCAACCCTAAGGATCCCCACCCCCAGCAAGGTTTGAACTCTGGCCCTTGAGATCCTACAGACCAGACATCACTCACTTGAGTTAGAGCAGTACCTTATCTGTGGGCTGGACCACCTGGTAAGAAAGGGTGGAAAGTATGTAGTGTCCCCAGGTTCTACAGCTACTTGGGAGATAGGTGTCCAGGACTCTGCTCTTGGCTGTGGAGGGATGGCTGGCTATTCTTTTTCAGGTTGCTGGCCAGAATGACCCAGCTCAGGCACAGGGTGGGTGGGAGCTAAGACCCTGCTGCCATTGCTGTTTCCCAAAGGAAGCACAAAGAGAGCAACCTTTGTCAAACACTGCTGAAGCCCCTGTCTGCAGGCTGGATAAAATGGCTCCATGGGCCAGATTCAGCCTACAAGCCATAGGTTGCTGACCTCCAGGAGAGAATAGCTGTGTACCTCCGTTTGGCACATTGACCCAGAAAAGTAGGGTAAGTGAGGGGGGACAAAGGGATGAAAACTTTAGCTTGTATTTGGGGTCTGGGATCTATTCCCCTCTCTGCCTTATACAGCCTTCCCAGTTAACTGCTTTGTAACCTGGTGGGGTGACACCTGACCATCTCCTGAAGCACTGCAAGCT